TCTACAGGAGCCTGTCCTCGTGGGGACGGAGCACTCGGCACCCAGCATGTCCCGATCTCCTGCAGGAGTTCGACCCTGGGCAGGACACCTACCAGCACCCTCCCAAGGACAGTAGCGGGCAGCGGGTGGATGTGAGCCCCACCAGCCAACGCCTGCAGCTCCTGGAGCCTTTTGACAAGTGGGACGGCAAAGACCTGGAGGACCTGCAAATCCTCATCAAGGTCAGTGGCGGGGGGAGAACAGCCCTGGCCTGCCCAGCCCTGCCCTCAGCAGCAGGAAGGGCTGTGAAACCACGTGCTCTCCCCTGGGCGCCAGTGGGGAAGGTCAGGCTGGGGGTGGGGGGCGGCGGCCGGCAGGGAGGTCGGCTGCAGAGGAACCAGGGCCTCCACAGCCCAGTGTCCCTTTCTCCTCCGCCCCATGCCAGGCCGAGCTGGCTCTGGCCAGCTGTGTCTGGGGTGCTCGGCCATCGGCGGCAGCCGGTGAGGGTCACCTGCAGCGGCCGCGGGCCGTGGGTGCGGCACAGGAAGGGCTAGAAGAGCACCAGGTCTCCACGCCTCCGGCTTGACCACACAGGCTGCAGAAACCACAGAGTCCTCTGCTCCCGCAGTTGGGCATCGGTTGGTCTGGCCCGTGTCTGGGAGCCGAGCGGACACAAGCCTCTGTGGTGTGGCCAGAGGCCTCAGACCCATGTCAGGCATGGATTTTTGCTGTTTACTAAGGGTCTTCAGGCAGTGGCAGCTGGTATTAAGCCCACATGATCGATAAAACTGGTGACCAGCCAGGACCAGGACACGTCCTCGGGCTCCTCTGGGTCCAGCATGAGGTCTGTGGCTGGTCTTCCTGCCTGGGCGTCAGTTGCCTGGGGGCCTAGGTCGGAAGGGTGAATGAGCAGACCTGCCTGTCCAGCCTCTGCCCCCTGTGGGTGTCCTGTCCCGGACAAGTCACCGAGCAGTGCAGGGCCTTCAAGGGGTCGGGGACGGTCTGGCCTGAGCCCTCATGGTCACAGTGTGGCAAGGCCAGGGCGGCAGACTGTGTGTCCAAAGCCAGACCTGCTGCCCTTGTCACCCTTCCTGGGTCGCAGTTGCTGGGTCTGCTGCCAGCCTCTAGAGGGCTTCTCCCTTCATCCACCTCTCCCGCGCCATGCCCTGATCTCAGTCTTCTCACCCACCCAAGGTCAAAGGGAAGTGTACCACCGACCACATCTCGGCTGCGGGCCCCTGGCTCAAGTTCCGTGGGCACCTGGACAACATCTCCAATAACCTGCTCATTGGCGCCATCAACATCGAAAACGGCAAGGCCAACTCCGTGCGCAACGCCGTCACCCAGGAGTTTGGTCCTGTCCCTGACACTGCCCGCTACTACAAGGTGGGTCCTGGTCAGTGGGGGCAGGGGCGGGGATGCAGGGAAGGGGTGCTCTCCCCCCAGGAGCCCACACCAATAGCTCTGCAGTTGAAGGATGCCCTGGTGCCACGGGGGCAGTCCTGTGTCACCCTCACCACATGCCCCTGCTCCGATCCCACACTGGCCTTCCCCCAACGCCTGCCTCTGTCCTGAGTACTGATGGGTAGGTGGCACCTCCCTTGCCCCTTGCAGAGAGTCAGGGCCTGTGTCTGATCACCTCCATCCCCTCAGGGCCTGATTGGGGCCTGATTCACCTCTGATTTCACCAGCCCTTGGGGAGCAGGTAGGGAGGGGTCTCTCTAGCCCCTTGACCTGTGAACCTTAGGAAGCCCAGGGCCGGCAGGCAGGGGGCCAGCGTCCTCTCCCTCATGGCCGCCTCACTTGCCTGACAGAAACACGGCATCCGGTGGGTAGTGATCGGAGATGAGAATTACGGGGAGGGCTCGAGCCGGGAGCACGCAGCACTGGAGCCTCGCCACCTCGGGGGCCGGGCCATCATCACCAAGAGCTTTGCCAGGATCCATGGTAAGGTGGAGCCGGGTCCCGCCACATCCGCTTCCCCTCCCTGGCAGCCCATGGTCACCCACCCTGCCCGTGGTGGAGTCAGGCCTGGAGCCATGCGCCTGGTTTCCATGCCGTGTCCACAGCTCCCGTTTTCCGCCACAATCTCTGCCCCTTCTGAGTTCCGTTGGGTCCAAGGCCCACGGCTTCCCAAGATGGGAACTTGCTTCCAAACTTGCAGACCTAAGCAGCAGAAATCCAGGGCACGTGGTCAGAGGATTTTGATTGTGAATGTCTGTCAGGAAGGCCAACGGAGACCCAAACCAGCACGCTTACGTAGGCTCAGGCAGAAGGTACCCTGTCATTGGGAGTATAGCCACCTTGGTCCTTTTGGTTCTGCTCAGAGTTGTCTCCAGATGGCAGGACCAGGGTCCCTCTCCCAGAGCCCTCGCTGGGCTTAGAAAAGGAAGCTTTTAGGCTGGTGAGGCTCCCTGTGCAGAGAAGGGGGGACTGGCCCTGCGCGCTATGGAATGACTCAGTACGCTCTCTGCCTTCTAGAAACCAACCTGAAGAAGCAGGGCTTGCTGCCCCTCACCTTCGCTGACCCAGCCGACTACAATAAGATTCACCCCGTGGACAAGCTGACCATCCAGGGCCTGAAAGATTTTGCTCCTGGCAAGGTCAGGGGGCCAGGGAGGGAGGGCAGGTCGGGGACACCCACTTCTGGCCCCCCTTGTTTCTCCTCCCATGAGCCTTTGTTTCAGTTGGAAGGGCCCTTAAACCGTCAAGGCAACCCCCTCGGAGAGAAGGAAGTGCCTTCCCAGAAACAAGGGTGGAGCCAGCTCAGGCCCCACTCATTAGGGCAGGCTTGGCACTCAGGCCAACAGCCCATGCAGAGCAGGACCCTCTTGGCCCTGGGAGTCATGCCATCCAGGTCTTTTTTTAAAAAGATTTTCTTTATCTGACAGAGAGACAGCAAGAGAGGGAACACAAGCAGGGGGAGTGGGAGAGGGAGAAGCAGGCTCCCCGCAGAGCAGGGAGCCCGATGCGGGGCTCGATCCCAGGACCCTGGGATCATGACCTGAGCCGAAGGCAGACGCTTAATGACGGAGCCACCCAGGCGCCCCGCCATCCAGGTCTTAACGGGGGCCACCCAAGCCCAGACCTGGCCTAGAGCTTGGTTTGCCTGCTGGCCCCTGAGGTTCACCTTGCGTGCACCCCACCTCCCTGACCCTGCAGCAGAATCCAGGGCCGTGTTCCTAAGAGCCACTCCGCTTCTCCCCACTCCCTACAGCCCCTGAAATGCATCATCAAGCACCCCAACGGGACCCAGGAGACCATCCTCCTGAACCACACCTTCAACGAGACCCAGATCGAGTGGTTCCGTGCTGGCAGTGCCCTGAACAGGATGAAGGAACTGCAGCAGCACTGAGGTCCGGCTCCACACCCTGCCCGCCTGCTCCTTGGACCCGGGGCCGGGGACCCCAGTGCAGCCCGCGCATCATCAGAACTGGATCCACCCCGATCCAGCCAGGGCTTCCTGCTCCAAGATGGTGTGCTCAGCCCGCCGAGTGACCCACAGTTGGGGGGGGGGGTTCTTAAAAGAATGTTCCAGCCCCCCTGCCTTCCCATGTTTAGTCTGATTCAGATCTTGAGCAGCTCCATTCAACTGTATTTATTTTTGATGACAAGACTCCCATCTAAAGTTTTTCTCCTGCCTCATTTCACTGGTGGCTCAAGGATTTTAAAGAAACTTTTGCTCTTACGAGGAAAATAAGAATCCAAACTCGGTGACTGTCCGTGTGTGTGAGTGGTGTCCGTACAGGGCGCGGGGCGGGTTGCTGTCGGCAGAGGCCCCCACTGGCCACGCCACAGCAGACCTGCCACTGCCACGAAGTTCAAGTGGAAAGGCTGCTTTCCCGCGTCTTCTCAGCCCCACCTTCCTGCGCCCTGGGCCAGCCTCCCCTCCCCGCGCCCCAGCATCTGCATGGCCCCCCTCGTGTCCTTCCCCTGGGCATGGACTCAGCCCCCTCCCTCAAGGCTGCGGCGCCACGCGGCGGCGGGCATCGTTCTGCAGCTGCTTCTCCCGCTGGAGCGCCGTCCCCGGGCAGGACCCACGCCCCGGTGCCCGTGGAGCAGAGGCGGCCAGAGCAGGAGGTGGGCTCCAGGGAGGGCCCTTCCTCAGCATGAGACTTGCCTGACAGAAACTCGGTGTCCTGTGGGCGCCATGAAACAAGCCTGCGGGTCCTGCGGAAGTGAGTGAAGAGGCAGGAGGAACCTGGCAGAGCCCTTGTGCTGAATAAACAAGGTGCTGTGTGCCCTCGTCTGGGATTTGGCGCCGCCAGCAGGCCCACGGAGTGTTCCTGGCGTGGCCGAGGTCTGAAAGTGACCACTGTCCTGCCGGGGGTGGTGGGTGGGGGATAACACAGCTGGTCGCCAGCCCGGCCCTTGGGCCACCTAAGCCCACGGCCTCCACTTTCCTGACGGTGCTGGCTTGCCTGAGTCCAGGCCCCTGCCTTCCAAATGCTGGTGGGGAAAAAGGCGGTTGTCCCTGAAAGGTCAAGACTTGACAACAGCTAGCAGCTACCCCAGGCCAGCCTCTCGCTCAGTTACTTTAGGGAGCCACCAAGCTTAGCCCAGAGCCCAGCCTGAGGCCCTCAACCCCCAAGTCCTGCCATGGGGGCAGGTCACCTGCAGAAGTGACCCGGGCACAGGAAGGACAGGCGGTCCCAGCTGTGGCAGCTCGGTGACCTTAGATCACGGAGATAAAGGTGGCTCCTCCCTGACTGATCCCGTCTTTTATTAAAAGCGTGCGCCGTCGCCAAGAGGCAGAGGTCCAGAGGGAGAGCGTGACTTCAGGGATAGCTCGTCTGGCGGGGCACGCACTCTGCTCCTCGGCATCTGTGGAAGCGGCCGTGGTTGTCACGGCCGGCTGCACCACCTTCCCCGGGGCTGGGCTGGGGTCTGCCGGACTGGCCAAGGTCCGCCGTCAAGCCCCACGGCTAGCTGCTGGTCCACCAGGAGAGAAGGCCCAGGCCTGGCTCACTGATGGATCCCTGCCCGGGGAGAGAGAAAACAAGCACATTTCATCTACCTTCAGGGCTTGAGCCACCTCGGGAGGCAAAGGGGGCCACCCTTCCGGGCGCCCCGCACAGGCAAAGGGAATAGTGGAGCGAGCACACACCAGCCAAGAGGATGGGGAGAAATCCAGGGGCCACCCCAGCACTCCCGGCTGGCCCCTGGGGAACACAGCCCAGCTCCCCTCTCCTGCCCCAACCTCTCCTGGGGCCTCTAAGGAAAGTGCTGGTTCTCTAAGGGCATGGCCTCTGGCCCCAAGGCCTCAGCTGGGTCAGGTTCCCTTCCTCGCCCCCAGGCCTGCCCAAACATGGCCACCGGCAGGCCAGGCCTGGGCATGCTCTCAGCCCTGCCAGGAAGGCCTAGTGACCCCGCGCCCCAGCCTCCACAAACATGCAGAGGGGATGCCCTCGGCCACCCAGATTTTTGACAAAGCACAGCAGCCCCCAAAGCAAACCACCTGCAGCGCAATTATACCGGGAAACCCTCCTAGCAGGCCCCAGAAATGAGTCCTACTTTGTCCTGCGTCACAGTCCCTTCATGAGGGTAGAAGACCCAGGGAACCCCGGTCAGGTCTGGTCACAGCTCCCCTGCCACCCCATGCGCACACCTGGTCGGGTGTGGGAGCAGCCCCGACGGAGGGTCACCCCTCCCCGAAGCCCCACTCTTGTGCTTGACCCGCTCCCACGCCCCTTCCCCGCTTGCTTTCTCCCTCAGCCTGCTCATCAGCAGCCTTGTCACCCAGTGAGGGCTCGGTCCCTCTTGCCGTCCGGAGTCTGACACTCCCAGTGTTATGCCCTGGCTTCCGAAACAGGCTCCCCAGGGAGAAGTGACCACCTAAGAACTCATCAGGGACCGGCGCCCTGACCTGCGGGGAGAGGGGCTCCAGGCGGGGAACCCCAAGTCAACGCCCTAGGAAGCCGCTCCCGCGCCTGGGTTCTCCCGCCACACCGGGGCCCGTGCACATCCCACCATAAGCGTGTACGGCGCCTCCTTCTTCGGCAGCTCCTCACTGGAAGACGTGGCCTCGGCTGAGCTGGGCCCCGTGGGGGACGTGTCCACAAAGCTCTCGTCCACCACCCGGAAGCGGATCTCCTCGCCGGTGTCCATGTACAAGTCGTGCGCTCCTTCCTCGGTCTCGTACTCCCACACCCACACCTGCTCTGCCTCGTCGCTGGGCGGGGCGCGGGGTCAAGGCAACAACCAGGCAGGCGGCAGCCCGCGGGGGCGGGGGGTTCCTCCCCCCGGCAAACCCCACCCGAGGATGAGAGCCCCTTGGCTGGGGTGTCAAGGAGAGGCAGGCCCACACCACGTGCATGAACGAGGCAAGGCTGGGCAAGCTCTGGGCCCCACAGGCAAGAGCGGGAACGCTGGGGAACACGGGCCCCCCACCCGGCACCACAGCCAGGCGGGCACACACATCCTCAGGGCCCCAGAGCAGGAGGAAGGCTCAAGGGCAGAGCGAGCCCCACCTCTTGAGGCAGGAGTGACGAAGACCTCTTGCTGCCCGGGTCCTCGCAGGCCAGCCGCCACGTTCAGACCTCCGCCCCACCGGCCGTGACCCGGGCCAGGCCCAACCTCTGAGCCTCGAGGCCCCGTGTGTAAAACGGGCTGTGGCGAGGCCTGCCCCTGCAGGGCTGCGGTGAGGAGGTAATGACGCAGCGCTCCCAGAAAGTGCTTTCCACGGGACCCACGCAGTCGGCCCTGGGGTGCTAGCCGAAGCTGCGCTATGTTCTCTGCAGCCCGACTCCACACCCCTTTCCATTGTGCCCTGTGAAAGTGACCAACACGCGGCGCAAGGACCTTCCCGGTGCTCAGGACGGACACGGCCGCCGGAAGGTCACCTGCCTGAGGGCCCACAGCCGGCGAGAGGCTCAGCCGGGCAGCGCCGGCTTTCCTGACAAGCCCCGGCGTGCCCCACAGACCCTGCCCCGGCCCGCACGGCCGAGCCACAGTGCCCTGATGAACCAGTGAGGGTGGCACCCCGGGCTCCCGCCAAAGCCCCAACCCCTCCCCCAGCCCACACCGAGGAGCCACAGCGCCCTCTAGTGGCGGTCCCACGCCTTAACCGCCCCCCCTCGGGAGCCCGGTCCCCTGCTGGTCCTGGGGACACAGTCCTGACAAGATGGGGTCCCTTCCAGGGAGCAGTCTCAGCGAGGACCCCCAGAAACAGACAACCCTAGGGCGACCAGGCAAGCGCAATGGGGGAAGCCAGCAGAGGGGAACCACCCAGCGCCGGACCGGGCACAGTCAAGCCCTCAAACGTCAGCCGACGGTACCATTCGCATAGCAGGGAAGAGGGGGAGGCGAGCCAGTCAGAACAAACCTCTCCAGGGAGGGGATCTCCGAGATGATCCCTGAGAGGACAACCTAAGCCAAGGGGACAGCACGCCACCTACAGAGCATGAGAGCCCAGACGGGGGCACGGTCGTGGGGACACCACGGTTAGCATGGGAGCATGGGCAGGTCAGAGCTTCTGGAGCACGAGTGCGGGCCGGGGCGGGGGGGTGGACACAAAGGTCAGCAGTGTCAGATCCCAGGCCCCAGGGTCACCCCAAGGAGCGGGGACTGTCCTTTGGAAAGACCTGAGCTCCCCTGTGACCCACTTTAACCTTGGGAGGATACAACTTGGCTGGCTGCTGCAGCGACTCGGGGGGAATGAGAATGTCATCGAAGAACCCTAGAGAGACTGGAACACACGGGAAAGTAACAGCATGGGACAAGGGCAGTTGTCGCCATGGAAATCTGAGCCCCCCACCCCCACCTCGGAGCCCTGCGCCCCCGCCTAGGCCACCCAGCCACCAAAACCTGCAGTGGACACCATGCAAAACTGGGACCAGAGGGTGCCTGGGACCCCGAGCCCCCTCTGGCAGCTGCTGTGTCCAGCCCACGGTCCTGAGGGAAGGCCTCACGGTGAAGCCCCGCAGCTGGCCAAGGCCTTCACTGTTGCGTGAGCACGAGGGGGCTGTGTGCTGCCCCCCCCCCACCGCAGCTCCCTGACAGCCCCCCCCTCCCCCGACCTGTGGCCCAGCCCAGAAGCTGAAGGGAGGCCTGCTGGCCTGGCCACTTGCCCCAACGTGCTCCCAGGCTTCATCTGAGGATCAGGGCCACCATTACCGTGCACTCCCTCCGGGCTACAGCCTTTGATCTTGCCAATCAGAATCTCGTCCAGGAAGGGATGGAACACCACATAGCGAAAATGGACTGGAAGTGAAGGAAGAATGTCAGTGACGAGCAGGCACGTGAAGGACGGCTGCTCTGCGGCGGCCCCGGCTTCCCAGTGTTGACCACCCTCGCCAGCCTGCTGACCCGGAGGCCCATGGCTACCCCGGAGTCCGCTGGGCCCTCCATACCCAGTCCCTCCGTGGGTCCAGACCCACCAGTGGAGCCGCAGAGACCCACACCCCGTCCCCTGCAGGGCCACAGCACGGCCCCCATAACAGGCCAACAGCAGTGGCCCTGAACGGAGGGCTGGCCCCCAAGCCCACCCGACAAGTCACTCCTGAACCCAGATTCTGGGCCATGGATGACTCCAAAGTCAATTCCACCCTTCCTCTAGACTCGCTCCCTTAATTTCTAGAAAGGGCAGAAGTAACCGGCAAAGGGAGCCAGGTTCGGAAACAAGTCTTCCATCTCCCTCTGATGGGAAAGTTTGCCCCAGGCATAGCTCTGACCTGGAATAGGACGTTAAAAATGCCCTGAAATGGACGGGGCCACGGGGAGGCAGAGGCAAGAAGCCAACAAAAATGCCTCTGTGGGCTCGCAGGCCCTGCCCTGGGTGGTCCCCAACTCGGCAGACCCCCAGGACCTGGCAGAAGCCATTACCTCATCACTCCTGCCCCTGACAGCCCCAAAGGGGTGACCAGCACTGGCCTGACCCCCGCCAGAGCTAGAGAATAACCGTGAGGCTACATCCTGCCGGTCACACGGTGCCCATCGCCACCCACCCGTGTCAGCTGTCACGCTTCCCCGCCGTGAGGATGGGGAAGCGGCTCAGAGGGGCTGCAGGACCTGCTCACAGCCACTCAGCTCTTCTGTCCTGCTTTGCCAGGGGAGGACTCCAAGCCTTTCTGGGCCACCAAACACGGCCACAGGGGGGTGGAATCTACCTTCCCCGGACAGCTTTCACCCCCACACAGGCTCCCACCACCAGCACCCTCAGCTCCCCGCTCTGCCAATGCCACCCGAGGGCCGACGGGGCCCCCAGCTCCCCGCCGGGTGGCCTCTCCGTGCCCCACCAGGCGGGAAGCACGAGGGAAGAAGCGGGGGCGAACGTAATGCAGTCTATCCACAAAACGGAATATTACTCAGCCTTAAAAAGGGAGGGAGTACAGACACCTGCCACGACATGGATGAAGCTCGAGGACATTACGTTACGTGAAACAAGCCAGTTCCAGAGGACCACATACCGTGTGACTCCATTATATGAAATGCCCAGAACAGGCGAACCCAGAGACAGAAAGTAGATCCGCGGTTGCCAGGGGCTGGGGGAGGGGAGCAGGAGGAGCGACTGCTGGTAGGTATGGGGTTGCTTTTCGGGGGTGGGGAAAATGTTCTGGAATTAGATCGTGGTGACAGTTGCACAACTGAATATCCTAAAAGCTACCGAATGGTAAGCTTTAAAAGGGTGAATTTTATGGCATGTAAATGAGATCTCCATTAAAAACAAAAAGGAGGCCACAGACCAGCGGGAGGGCCAGCCGGGCCAGGGCCATATTTGGAGCCACCTCCCAAGAGCCCGACCTCAAGTTCCGGGGTGTGTAGTGGGCAGACGGGAGCCGGGAAAGTCAACAAGGATGGGGCTGCAGGATCAGTAAGAGGAAGACCCGCTCTCGGGGGCAGGCTCGGGCCAAATCCCAGGAGAAGCAGGGCTGCCTCGGGACGTAGTGAGTTTCTGCAAAGGGCAGACACTGGATGATTCCACTGTATGAAGTACCTCGAGTAGTCCAATTCATAGAGACAAAGCACAACGGTGGTTTCCAGGGCCCGGAGCTGCAGGGAACGGGGAGTGAATGCTTAAGAGGGGCAGAGTTTCAGTTTGGGAAGATGAAAAGGGTGGTGGTGGTTACCCAGCAATGACTGTACTCGATGCCATTGAACTGGGCACTAAAAATGATTAACATGGTAAGTCTTATGTTATATATAGTTTATCACAACTTAAACAAAAACAGAACAAAGCAAACGGTGGGCATGAGGAGAGTCCACTCTGGAGCCCCGAGCAGGTCAAGAGGGGCTCCCCCCGGGGCCAGCCATCTTGTGGGACAAGGGTAACAGGGCACTGGTGCCATGTCCAAGTACCCTAAGGACAAGAGCTGAGGCTGGACACCTGGGCGCAGTGTCACAAGTCACAGAGACTGACATCTTGTGAGCACTTACCATCCGAGAGAGGTGAAGTGATCCGGCCCGGGGAGAAGGAAGTACAAGGCAATAAGCCCTCAAAACAAAGGGGGAGGCATGGGGCTGAGGCCTCCCTCCACACACCCTGGCCACAGCCCTGGGTGAGGCAGTGGGCTGGGGGGGCGGCAGGAACAGGGCCCAGGGTAGAAGATCAGCCCTAAAGCATGGCATTGATCTCCACAACAGAGCACCACCCTGCATGGCGCTCCACAGACCACAGCGAGCTTCACAGCTCCAAGTGTTGACCCCATTTTACAGATGAGGAACCTGAGGCCAAGACAGGCAGCGTTACCTGCTCAAGGTCCGCATCCGGCAGGGGGTGGGGAGCAGAGCCAGAATTCAAATCTGGGTCCATGTGACATGCCTCACCCAGGGCCCTAATCCTCACACCTCATTCCCAAGGAACCAGGGGGCCCAGGGTGAACTGGGGGTGGGGGGACAATGAAAACCAACAGTGGAAATCTTACACCAAGTGGCAGAAACAACCAAATGAAAGAACAGAATTTCCTCAAGTTTAACTTTTTCCTCCCAGTCTTCCTTGAAGTTCTGGTGCCTCTCACCACTTGTCCAGGGCAAGTCTAAAGGCAGAGACTGGGCTCAGCTTGAGGGCATCCTTCTCCGTAAACAGAGGCCCTGTGGTCTTGTTTTCACGTCTCCGTTTAATTTCTCTGCTAAGTGCTCCTAGGGCTGTCCACAGAGCACAGTAACATCTCTGTGAATCTAAGTCTCCGGATTCCTGGACACAGACACCAGGCGGCCTCATGGCACGTTCTGGAATGCTCGACATCTCTGTGTCCAGAAGCTGACCAAGATGGGCTAGGGCAGGGCTCCTCACACTTGGCCTTGTGTGAGAAGCACCTGGCTCCTTATTAAAGCACAGTCTGCAGGCTCACCTCCAGAGACTGTGATTCAGCAGCTCTGAGTGCCTAGTGCCAGCTGCAGGCCTGCCCGCTGATTGGCCCCGAACCACGTCAGCGAACCACGTCAGCGGCCCCTCCCTTGCCTTCTGCTGCTTCGGCTGGGTCCAGGGAGGAGAGAGGATGCCCCACGCCCTCCCTGAGGACCCCAGCCAAGGTGACCATCGCTCTACTCGTCCAGGTCCGCTAACCAACCTTGCCTTCCCTTCCCAGGGTGCACACCCCTTTGCTGTGCGACTACAGCTCCTCCCACCGGGAGGTGGAGTCTATTTTCCCATCCCTTGACGCCAACCTCAGCCATGTGACCTGCTCTGGCCAATGGGATCTTCCTACAGGAAGAAGAGCCCACATTGCAGCAGAGATGAGCTGTCCCCGTGAGGCCCCCCTCCCCACCAGCCAGTCTGCCAACCACCAGACACATGAGGCCATCCTACCCCACGCAGCCCTGGACGGGCCAGCCCAGAAGAACCCATTTAGTGGATCCACAGAATCAGGGGAAACAGTTCAAATCAATGAGCCACTGAGCCCTCCCTATGTGCCAAGGACCCATCCTAGGACCTTTGCACGTATTAATTTAGTATTCTCACAACAGTCCTGTACTATGAAATCTACTGTTAACTCATTTTATAGGCAAGGAAACAGAGGCATGGAGAGATTACATATTCTACACAGGGACACAGAGCAAATAAGTGGCCAAGTTGGGATTTAAATCCCAGAGGCTACACTTAACCATTAAGTCCTAGGGCCCCTCAAAGTCCCCCACCCTCAACCAGCTTCCTTCTCAAGAGACAGATGCACTCCCCTCGGCTCTCCACACTGTTAATTTATTTTTTTAAAGATTTTAAGTAATCCCTACACCAACATGGTCTTGAACTCACAACCCGAGATCAAGAGTCACACACTACTAACTGAACCAGCCAGACACCCCTGCTCTCCACTTTTAATCCAGCAATGACCATTCCAAGTGCCCTCACCTGTCTGGCCACCCACCCCCCCAACCAGACTGAGCAGCCTGATGGCCCGGCAGAGTAGGGCTCAGTAATAAATGAGACCAAAGGGGGCACAGACACGGAGCCACAATCAGAGCGAGAGAGGCCTCCAGAATCACCTTGTCTGGGGCACCTGGCTCAGTCATGTAGCAACAGATTCTTAGCTCAGGTCTTGATCTCAGGGTCATGAGATCGAGCCCTGTGTTGGATTCCACATTCGGCAAGGAGTCGGCTTGGGGTTCTCCTCCTTTCCCTCTCCCCCCACTGGTGCGTGCACACTCTCTCGTGCTCTCTCTCTCTCTCAAATAAATGAATAAATAAAATCCTTTAAAAAAAAAAAAATCACCTCGTCCACCATTTCTTATAGGTAAAGAAACCAAGGCCTAGACGGGGTAAGATTCTGCCCACTATCACCCAGTCAATTCCTGGCAGAGTCAGGACTAGGCCTCAGGTCCCCCAATCCCTAGACCAGGATTCCCACAACCAAAAACCAAACCCCAAGAAACCCAATGCCAAGGAGGAAAGGGCAGGCTGCCTGGGTGGCTCAGTCGGTTAAGCGTCTGTCTTCAACTCAGGTCATGATCTGGGGGTCCTGGGATTGAGCCCTACATCAGGCTCCCTGCTCAGTGGGGAGTCTGTTTCTCCCTCTCTCTCTGCCCCTACCCCCTCCGTGCTTTTGTTCATGCACACTCTCAAACGAATAAATTAAAAAATCTTAAAAAAAAAAAAAGAGGAAAGGGCACCCACCTTTGGTGTGCGACGCGCCGTCCCCTGGGAACACGTAGGCGTCCTCCAGCTTGGTGATGTCAAACAGACAGATGCAGAGCCCCACGTTGTACACGACCTGTGTGCATCCGCATACACACACACACACCGTGACTCTGAGGCCCGGCTCCCCAGCATGCTCTCCTGAGACCCTCGCCACCCACGGCAGGTAATGATTACCCCCATTTTACAGCCAGAAATGAGTTGGGGCACCGTCTGAGGTAACCATGGGTCAGGGGCCTCTGAAGGATGCGGAGCTCTGGAAAGAGCGGGGCCTTTGTGACAAGGCAGATCCTGGTTACAGTGCCAGTTCCAACGCCCACTGTGTGACCGCCAAGGTCACTTCTCTGAGCCTCAGTTTCCCCCATTTGCAAAAATAGACCTCCCAGGCTGCAGGTTTGTTAAACAGAGAGAATGGATGTGAAGCCCCATGCCAGTGTCTGGCTTACATGCTAGAAGTAGTAATAGTCAACCACGGATCACTATTGTTATTAGTCAGCATCACGGACAACCAGGGAACCCTGGTTTAAACCTGCACTTCCCAAAGTCTCCAGGTCCATGCTAGAGCTCGGGGCTTGGTGTCAGAGGCCCGGCTAATCCCCCATTCCGCTCACAAAGTAGGAGACACAGCCGTGGTCGCAGGGACTGAGGCTGGCGGAGTGACCCAGGGCCAAGGCGCCGAGACTAGACAGCATCCTTTGCCCCCTCCGCACCCCACGGCGCTCCAAACCACGGGCCCGCTGGTGTCACCCTATCTGCCACCGGTATCATCACCTCCCAATTACAGCCCTGCAGACTGTTCAACGATTAGCAAGAAGCTCAGAGAACTTACGGTCCGGGCCAGACCTCACCACAATGAGGCACAGAGTCTGGCTGGCTTCGGCAGCACAAGATCTGTGCCCTTGGCCGGACCACGGACCTCTTCTGTGCAGCCTCCTGGCAAATGACTCAAATACAGAAGACTCATCTCAACAGGTCACTGAAGGACCCAAAGGGACTACATTCCCTTCTTGGACTTTTCACACCTTCTCTCTCCAAAATGCTCACACTTCGTCCCTCCACAGACCCCTTGACCTTCTACCTCACAAAGTAACCGGAAGCCATCCACTAAGGACTTCATGAGTTCTCTCCACCAACAATTCCCCAGATCCATACACCTCCCTTCTATGACCTCAGCCTCTATGGAAGGGACTGGCCTCGTGTCTAAAGCCAGCCAACCTTCCCCTTACTGGCTCCTTCTCAGCCTATCACCTCCTGCTATTCTACGGATGAAGACCAATACTGCCATGACATCCTGCAGGCCGTGTGCGGCTTGGCTCCTGCCACCTTTCCAGTCTGCCCTCCCCTCTCTTCCTCCGCCCAGGCCACACTAGCCTCCTCCATGTTATCATGGGTGAAATATTCCTTCCTGCCACAGGGCCTTTGCACATGCTGTTTCCTCTGCCTGCCCAACTCTTCTCTCTGCACCCTCAAAAATGAATCCCCTAGGGGCGCCTGGGTGGCTCAGTTGTTAAGCGTCTGCCTTCGGCTCAGGTCATGATCCCTGGGATCGAGCCCCGCATCGAGCTCCCTGCTCGGCGGGGAGCCTGCTTCTCCCTCTCCCACTCCCCCTGCTTGTGTTCCCTCTCTCGCTGTCTCTCTCTCTCAAATAAATAAATAAAATCTTAAAAAAAAAAAAAAGAATCCCCTAATTAGTTCCTCCTCAGCATCATCTCTCAGCTCAAGCTCAAATGCCATATCCCTAACAAAGCTGCTTTCTCCCTCATTGTAGGCAGAGTTCTCCTTCATTCCACAGACTTGTGAATGCCTGTCCTTCACAGCACTTACCTCAACTTGTCATCATATACTCAGCTGTGGGTCCCTCTCATTCATATCTGCTCTCCCCACCACACTACAGGGTAGAGCCTTGTCCGCCTCGTTCATTCAATCAACAGACAATTACGGAACATCTGCTATGTGCCAGGCTCTGGCTAAATATGAGGGTACCGTGTGGAGAAGACAAAGGTCCCTGCCATCATGGAGCTGCAAAAAAAACCATAACCATCTAAGAAGGAAAAAGTGATAGGAAAACAGAGTAACTGAGGGAGGGTTACTACAGAAAAGGCGGCGGGAAGGCCCCAGACTAGCTGTCACTAAGTCATGTAGGGCTGGCATATAAAAGGTGCACAAATACTTTTTTGCAGGAATGAATGGATAAACCTCCTGACCGTTAACTCTAAACCACTCTGTCCATCTTCACAAAAACAGTGCGCGGTTGGACAACCATTATTATTTCCATTTTACAAATGGAAACTGAGGCCCAGAGGGGTAAGTGACCTGCCCAAGACTGCAAAGTAATTTGGCAGTGTAGAATCTAGCATTTCCCAGTTACAAGAGCCTTTTTCAAACTCAGTTTCTTTTTTGATTCCCTCTGACATCCTTCGTGCAGAAGGATTACCCCCATCCCGTGTACAGGTGAAGAAACCGAGTTCTGAGACGTTAAGCTACTTGCCCAAGGCCGACGTTTAGCATGACCAAGGCCAGGCCTGCGGCGGGCAGGTGGGCAGTGCTGGGCCCTCCGGTGCCAAGGCCTGCCAGCGACCGCGCGGGCCCAGTACCTTGTTGGCCAACTTTTTGTTCAGCTCCTCGGCAATGGAGTCGTTGAGCTTCCTCTCAAACTGCCACGGGGGAATCCGCACGGTGTCCACCATCTCCACCAGGACAAACATCCCGGCCTGCGCTGGGGCCCTGGGAATGGGAGGGTCAGTCTCGCACCGTCTGGGGCAGTGGGCATTCCCCAAGCCCCTCCCCGCCCAACCCGGCAGTGGGGCTGCGAGGCAGGGCGCCGGGTACCCCGTGCGGGGCGCGCTCAGCCGCTGCAAAGTGAGGAAACTGAGGCTTAGCGCGAGGGGCCCTCGCTCCAGTGGAAGGGGTGCGAGCACACGTCGCACGACCCCGCGCTGCCCCCCCCCCCCACGAAACACGCGCCGCGGCCACGCACCGCGCTCCCACGCGCAGCCGACTCCGGACAAGACTCCGAATCTCGCTTCCGGAGAACAGACCAATAAGAAGCCTTTGCCCGCCCCCTGACGCGGCGCGGGGCCTCCCCTTCCGCCGGGGCGGAGCCGTCAACCCTCCGACCGCGCTTTCTGGTTGCTAGGCGACCCCGGTGCGTTCCAGACTTCAGCGGCTTGGCCAGTGCTCTACTCTCTTCTTCCGGGTCTCACGTCGTGCTCTGCGCCGTAGCCGGAGGGATCCTCTCAAAAGCCCGTACAGGATGCTTAGACCCCTCAGTACCCTGGAGGCGGGAGAATTAACTGGAAAGGGGCAGGCGGGACCTGATAGAAATGTTTCGTATCTTCTTCTAGGGGGTGGGTTACACAGACGTATGCAATTGTCAGGGGTGCCTGGCTGGCTCAGTCGGTAGGGCATGCAACCCTTGATAACAATAACAGGGTTGTGAGTTCAAGCCCCACGCTGGGTACAGAGGTTACTTAAAAATAAAATCTTTTTAAAAACGGCATTAAACTCTATAGTTAAGATCTTTGCATTTAATTGTAGGCAGATTACATCTCAATTGAAAAGTGGTAATAAGTTGGGACCCAAAAACAACCTCAGTAGCTTCCCACTAAACTAATAATAAAAGTCCGAAACTTTGAGGCGCCTGGCTGGCTCAGTCCGTGGAGCCTGCGACTCGATCTCTAGATTGTGAGTTCAAGCCTACACCTTGGGTGTAGAGATTACTTAAAATAAATAAATAAATAAATAAATTGGGGCGCCTAGGTGGCTCAGTCACTTAAGCAACTGACTTCAGCTCAGGTCATGATCTCAGGGTCCTGGGATAGAGCCCTGTGTTGCTTATCCGGGAGTCGGCTTGTCCCTCTCATCCCCCTCCCTCCGGTCCTGCTGGTGCGCGCTCTCTCTCTCTCAAATAATAAATAAATATCTTTAAATAAATAAGTCCAAAACCTTTATGGTAGCTCACAAGACCCTGCAGGGTCTTGCCTCTAAAATAAAATCTTAAAAAAAAAGGGTGGGGGGGCGCCTGGGTGGCTCAGTCGTTAAGCGTCTGCCTTTGGCTCAGGTCATGATCCCAGGGTCCTGGGATCCAGCCCCACATTGGGCTCCCTGCTCAGCAGGAAGCCTGCTTCTCCCTCTCCCACTCCCCCTGCTTGTGTTCCCTCTCTCTGTCAAATAAATAAATAAAATCTTAAAAAAAAAAAAAAGGATCTTGCCTCTACCCACACCTCCAGCCCCAGTTTGTTCTTTCCCCTGCCACCCCTGCCATTCCCACTCATCTTCATATGATAGGTAACATGGGCTTGGGCTAAGACAATTCAGTAGCTTGTCGGAGATCATGGGCTGCTACGTGGTAGAAGCGCACCCATCTAAACCTCTACACTGCCTCTAAAAGTTGGTGGGCTGTGGAAATACACTGGCTTGTGTTTAAACCAAATAAAATTTAAAGAAAATAAAAATTTGAGAACTTAAAAAAAGCCTTGGGGTGGATGAGAGAGGCACTCGGAAATGCATGTTGCTTCCCTTTGCAGATTTTACACATGTGGCGATATCTGCGTGAGGCTGGTGCAGTGATACTTAATTTGGCCTTCTCTGCATCCATATTTTTATTTTTAGGTCTGTCTGCTTCTCCTAGGATTTGAGCTACTTGAAGATGGGGGAAATGCTACTTCAGCTCTTTAGTCCCATGATCCCCTAATATATTTCTAGGAGGCATTCGGGAAAAGTATTGAGGAGATGAGTCTTTTCCTCAGTCTCTCAAACCTCCGTCTTCATTGCATTCCCACTGCTACTGCCCTGGTTCAGGCCCTTCCATTGCTCTGCTGGAGCTTAGCCACACCCCTGGCTTCTGGCCTCAGTCTCTCCTTAAGTGACTCTCGCACTGTCACGAAAACCTTCCCTTCATGAATATCCTCTGCCTACATGGAAAGGCCTGGACCGAATGCAGCCTTTCTCTCCAGTCTTACCTTCCTTCTGTTTCCAAGCACTGGGATGGAGCAAGTTCTTTTAGTCCTTCCTCAAACACTTGTTTACCTGGAGAACTCCTACTCATCCATCAGAACCCAAACACAATGCCTACCCCATTCATTGATTCACTCAACATACTGTGTGCCCAGCTTTGGAGATCCAGTGGGAAGAACTGGGCCCTGGGCCCCGCTTCAGCTCAGAGGGGTTGCAGGGAAGAGGGAGAGAGAGATAGAATTTGATGCTCTCAGGAAATTAAAAGTATTTCAGCTGATTTATAGGGAGATAAAAACCATGAGATTGGAGACCTCAGCAGGGTCCAGATCACAAGGGCCTTATCATTATAATTTAATCCTCACAACAGCTATATAGTAGGGTCTATAATTATCATTACCTGATTTATCTCATTTATCTCATTATCTCATTTTGCCTCATCTAAGGCAGAAAGAGGTTAAGTAGGTCGCTCAAGGTCACACAGCTAATGACTGGCAGAGCTGGGATTCAGGCTCCAGAGCCCATGATCCTAACCACTGGGCTGTGCCAGGACATTATTAACCTAAGGACGGCAAAAGGAAGCCTTAGATAAGAACAGGGGAATGACACAGTGACGCATCAGTGGGATGGACAGTGGGTGGGAAGGGGCTGGGGTGGAAACGTGAAGACCAGGGAAGAAGTTATTGGGTGGCTCCTGTAAGAGAAGGCCTGAGTAAGGCTGGTAGCCATGGAGCGTGAAGCTGGGCAGAGTCCAGAGGTCTCCAGGGGGTGGTCCCAGGGATAGGGTGGGTGACCTAGGGACAGAAGTGGGAGGAGCCAAAGGCAGGAGGGCTTTGGGCCCTGGCTGGGTAGTGGGCCTTTCACTGAGACTGGAAACTGGAGGAGGGCCAGGCTGAGGGGATGGGGCCAGCATTGCAGAGTTAGTGTTTTGGGTTCCCAGGCTTCTTTTATGGTATTCAGCTCACACGACTGCAACAGTGATTTGTTGGCACGTTTGGTTTCCTCATTAGGAAAAACAGGGACTGGGCTTCTTTGTTAATTCTCTGCGTTGTTCCATGGAAGATTTGAGGTGGCTTACAAAAACACACAAAGGCAGTTTGTAAGCTCCTCGACGGCAGTGGACTTCTCTGCCATGTCCCTCCACATCCTCTGGGCCTAGCCCTGTGTCTGGCACATGGTCAGGGCTTGTAAATATGTGTTATTTGAACGAACAAAAGGATAGCAAAATAATTGTTAAGTGGAGGAGTGAGGGAGAAACAGGGTTGGAAGCTAACCCAGGAGGAGGAAGAGAGTCCAGTGAGTGGTTAAGGGCATGGAGTTCCCACGCCACAGCATGCTAAAGCCCGAGAACTTCTCAGTGCCTCTGCTGTCTCTCTGTAAAGCAGAGATAATAATAGAACTGATCTCAAATGATTGTCCATCATGGAGGACTGGATAAAAACTATATATGGTGCCTCACAGAAAGAAATAATATGAAGGCATAAAAAAAGAGGACGAGAACGCTCTTTGTGTATTGCTATGGAATGATATTCAGGATACATTAAGTATAAAAACACAAAGCACAGCGCAGTATGTATGGGATGTTACCACTTGTGGGAAAAGGGGAAAAATAATACTCTGTTGACAAGCATCTGATTACATGGGGGGACCGCAGGGCGAGGAACAGAATGGCTGAGGGTGTGGGAGTGGGGAAGGGGGGGAGATTACCAAACGCCCTCTGGAATCTTTGATAATTAGGATCATGGGAATATCTTACCTATTCAGAATTTAAATTTAAATTTAAAAAGCAATTAAGATTTTTTACGTCTTAAAAACACCCCTCTCTTGGCCCTCCAGCTAGTGGCCCATTTTCTGCTCCCTTTACTGGCAAAACTGCTCGAAGGTTCCGTCAGAGCTTGTGGTCTCCAAATCTCCTCTTCTTGTCCTCTCTTCAACCTGTTGTGGTCCGGTTCTGGCCCCGCCACGCAGCCCACACCGCTTTCTTTGGTTCACCAGTGGCCTCCACGTTGCCCAATGCAGTGCTAATTGTCAGTGCTCAGCAGCCACGGGCGCTCCTTTGTCCTTCACACACTCCTTCTGCTTGGCTTCCAGGGGACGGCGCTCACCCGGGTCCTCCTCCCGTCTCTAAAAGCTGGCGGGTCCCGGGGCCACTTTGTGCCATCTCCGCATCTCTGTGCATGCCTGGTGCTGTCATGGGGCCTCGGGGCGGTGACCAGCACCTTGCCACGGAGGCTCCCGCGTGGCTCCCTCGTGGCCCTCTCCCCGAGCGCCAGATTCACCCCCTGCCCGCTCCATGTCCCTGTTCAGCAACTCGAGTTTAGTCTGGGCCAGAGTGGAACTCTTGGTCATGTCTCTCCTGCCAACCTACCCCCGCCCCAGTCTTCCCATCTTAGAAAATGACTCCTCCATTCTTAGGTCGCTCAGGCCCAAACATGGGGATTATGTTTCATTGTCTCTCAGCCCCTCCCCTACGCAACTGTGAACAAATCCTATTGTTTCTACCTCCAATGCAAACAGAGTCCAACCCTCCTGCTCACCCCCACTGCAACTCTTGGGGCCCAGCCACCCTCACCCTGCACCCCTCACTACGCACTCCTCACCTGGGCCTTTGCTTCAGCCTCCACCCCAGTTTCCTTGTACGGGCCTCACGCCCCACCGTCTCTGCTCAAAACAGAAGCCGGAGAGACACCGTTAAAATGCCGATCAGAAATTCTCAACCCTCCTCTCTGGACCCTGCAATGCTCTATCTCATAAAAGCCAGGCCTTAGGACGTCCTTCACAGCCCTCAGGGTCCTCTGCCCCTCACCCCTGTGACGGCATGTCCCACTGCTGTGCCCAGTGGCTGTTTCTGACACTCCAGACACACTCCCCACTGGGACCTCTGCCTCTCCCCAGAACGGTCTCCCGTCCCCACCCTCCTGTCTTCAGTCCTCACCTCCTGCAGACCCTTGCTTTAGTGACACCTCCGTGAGGCTTTTCCTGACCCCCCACCCGGAGCCCCCCATTTTAAATCTCAAACCACCCAGCCACCAGCCCCCACTCCCTACCCCACTTACCAGTTTCCCACAGCACATGGCCTGCTTT